TCTAACAGTAGATACTTTGTTCCAGAGGAAATTACCAAACTCCTGGATTGCTGTGCTGCTTTGTGTATGAAAACTAGAAGTATTAGAAATAGTATGGGAAAATCATGTGATTTCCACCAGTATGAATAGTGGAACCTTTTACTGAAGTATCTGTTGTAGGGAAAAAACCTGGCCTTACACTTACCTGCACTTATAATTTCCTTGTATTTATAATAGCTACTGAGAGCCCCAGCAGGCTTTATGTTGTGTAAACACATGATACAACGGATGACTTCTACTTTAAAGAGCTTAGAAATCTGCTTGAAGGGAAGATGTGTAGGAGGTACAGTACACGGGCGAACCAGGGAAGAATCAAGCAGATCTAGGCAAACGATGGAAGGGGTCAGAGCTCTTTTACAGCTGTGAACTAGCACAGGGGTAGATTATGAAACAACATAAGTGTTCACTCTGTGCAGTACAGGGCAGAAGGCAAAGAAAGATGTGTGACATCCCAAAAAATAGAGGGCTTTATGAAGCTAAGATCTTGAGAGCTTTCTGCTTTGGAGAAATTTTCCAGAGCTGAAGTAAAGAAAAATGTAAAGTTATTTTTCTTCTTCCCTAGTACACACTTTCCCTTCTAGAAATGACATTAGAATCTAGACCAGTTGAATCAAATAAAATTCCACTTATTCTTCTTAGAACATTTTGGAAAAAACATCTTTTTTTTCTCCCTACGTTTTCTGGAATGTAGTGATTTATTTTTTTTTTTATAATGTAAAGTGTCAAACTAAAGTAAACAAACCAACCAGGTTTGACTAATTTCTGTTAAATATTTTACTTTCACTATACATACAGCTTCTTCCTCTTCATCAAATGTTTTTTTGGGTTTTTTTTAACTACAAACATTTCTAAAATATTTTACTTTTCTTCTGCATTTTCATTGGATTATAGGGAAGTCATCGTAGTTTACAAACAATATTTTTTGTTTTTTAAAAAATCTATATTTTAAAGAATGTTTTGACTGTCTCAAATTGAAAATCTTATCAATGAATGTAGCCTAAAATGCAAAAAAAATTACTCAAGTCTAAAATTATTGCTGGGAAGATCAGGAAATTAGAAGGGCAAGAGAAGATTACATGGCAACTCTATCCTGCTGTTACCCAGATATCCCAAAGCATTTTAAGACGAAGCTTACACTATCACTATAAAATACGCAAGCAGCTCTTATTCTCCCACAGGTTGGGAAACAAATAACGGGGAGAGTGAGTAGCTAGCATACAGATAGTGTTTGGTGTAGATAATGAAAGAAGTTCAGATTTCAAATGTCAGCTTAAGAAGGCTCTTTCTATAGCTGGGGGATTGTCTTGCAGTTCAGAGGGTTTATTTGAATCCCTGCTCAGCCTCAGAAGGTATTTGTAACCTTGGGACAGCCTTTTCTTTTCCCTTACATTTCTGTTTTCCCATCAAAAAGAGGCAGGTGGTAGGCTTCTACTTTACAGCATATTAGGATTTTAAAAAGCAAAACAAAGCAAAACCAGACCAATAATGATTGTTAAGTACTCAGGTATTACAGAGAAAAATAAATATACAAGAGAAGAGGAAGCAAGAAGAAAATTATTCCCTGAGGAACCAGGGTCAAATCTGGGATATCAGTACAAGATTTGTACTTCATAACAGTTTTGTCTCGGTGAAAACAGAAATGTCACATCACTACTTGGACTTCAGACAAAAACATACATTAAAATTGTAATAGGTTCATTTTCTGTTTGTGGTTGAAAAAGAAGTGTAGCAAAGAACATTATCTAATTTCAGCCTAATAATGAAAATTGTCATCAGACGGCAGTACTTGCCGAAGAAAATAAAATGTCATCTCTGAAGGGAATGCACGCACGAGTCTGTCACAAGAAGTCCCAGGAGAGAGAGGGCTTTTGTAACAACAATAAAATATGATGCTGGGTTTAAACACTATCCATACAAGCACTATAATTGCTAAATGGGGAAAAATAATCCCAGCTGTATCATAACTGATACTTGACAACAACCTAGCCTCCAAATATTTCTTTTTTTTCTGGTCCAGCTAAATAAACTCAGTCTAAAATGAATGATACTTAGAATAAAATACCTGAAAAAATCCTCACTGCAAAGGATTTTTTTTTTTTCTTTTTGTGGGCGGTGATGCATAAGGTGGGGAATTTCCCCTTTGCTAAAGATACGTTAGTGCTGCTTGTGCTGCTGTGAGTCAGTAAAGGTTGAGATTGGTGCTGAGATAATGGCAAAAGAGGAAAAACCTTCTAAAGCCTGGTTATTAAAGTGCCTCATCAAAGACAGTGAGAGCTTTGGGCATGGGTTCCCAGGGAGCTGATATTTCCCTTTGAGAGCTGTTGCCTTTTCTCACACGCTGTCTCCAGCTCACTGGGCGCTGGCTTCCAATTTGAGAGGCCAGTCCCAACAGTAGAATTGCTATACCCATTTCCTCCCTTTGAAACAAACTTACAAAGTCTTGCATTTCTCCGCTTTTTGCCAGAATCCCATCTCGTTCAGGGCACACACCAAGAGAAAGCAGGGCTCCCTAGGTGCTGTGCAGCATCGCAGGTTCTGTTCTGTGGGGGGAGATGTCGGATGCTCCAGGTGAGCAGCCCCTCTGAAGAGTTGGGCTGAAAGAGCCAGAAGGAAACCATGGCACCCGGCACCACAGCGGGGCTGCGGGCATGGAGGAGGGTGCTACACAAGCACAGAGAATGCTTTCGCAGGCTGTAATTAATTCCTTCTGGGTACTGTTACTATCACCAGCAAATTCCGAGCGGGGATAACCTGCTGAAAGTTGTGCTCAGGGAAACTAGAGAGGAAACAGGGTGAGAGAGACAAAAGGGAGAAACAAGATTTACTGTGATGATTTCAGCCATCTGAACATCAATGTCCCTGGAAAGCTTACATCCTATATATCCCTGGTCTGGAAACACAGATGTGTTTGCCGAGCTGTTTGCATTGCTCCCTGTTCTTAATTAAAGGATGATCTGAACTTTATTAAAACTTAAATTACTGTATGTCAAAGACATATTACCTGGCATGGAAGAAACTACTTTGCCATGAAAGGGAAAACGTTGACATTGGAGAGATAGATTGACATGAGCTTATTTTTATTATGTTTTTATTCTTGCTGCAATTAAAAAAGCAGGTCTAGAAATTGATTTTGTACGTGAAAGGGGAAAAATACCTCCTGTAACGGTAAAGTTCTTGACTAGGTGACCTCAAAGCACTTTACGAAAGTAATTGTTAAATGTTCCAAAATATTTTCTTTAATCTTCAAAAATGAAAGTTTTCCTTAGTTATAGTTAGGTCTCCTAAAGTTTTAAATAAAAATATATCTGGAATCTTCTACTTAAGGAAAAATAACAAGCTTGCCACTGAAGTTTTAAAAGTGGATGCATTTCTCTCCACAAAGCTAAACTGTTTTTCCTTTTCATACCCTCGTTATCTTCTATCCCCTCTGCCTTCTTCCTTCTCTCTTCTTTGGCAGAGGAGAAAAAGAGGTGAATTTTTAGTTTTCATGTTTTAAAATAGTTTTCAAGATATGCCAGTCTACTGTTTACCAAAAAGCTGTTGTAATTAGTTTCCCCATGACCTTCCAAAATTTTACAGTAGGGAAGCTGAGACATATAGGGGTTTGCATTGGGAATGTAATGCAGAATAAGAAGTAGATCTCAAGGTTTCTTGAGATCTCATAATTCTTAAAAAATTCAGTCTCATAATTCTTAAAAAACCATTCAAATCAGCTTTCTGATCAACCCAAAGCCTTAAAATCAGCTTCTTTCCTTCTCAGTTATTCTCGCAGGCATCCATCAATCTCTTCCCTGCCAATCTACTGCCACTACTCATTTTAAAAAAAAATTGTCAAGGTTTTAACATAAAGATGCACATTGCATTTTATGCAAAATCCTTAAAGTGGAGTTATGAAAAGGCAGATCACAGTTCAAAAAAGGGGACCAACATCTTCCTTGCCAGAAAAGGGGACCGACCAAGTCTATCAAGCAAGGGAAGAAGGGGAAAGAGGATGAATCTGCAAGAAAAGTATAGGGCTGATTGCCTCTTGGTGCTTCTATATGAAAAATTTTAAGTTAAATAAAGCAAAAGAAAGAACCCAAGTGATCCTTCCCTCTACTATCCTTCTGAGAATTACCTGATGGCAGCTTTTACGGAGAGCAGCTGTTTGTAAGTGCTCTGTAACAGTAACATTTGTATATCATTCCACAAAGACATGTCGAAGTATTTATAATACCTGTAACATGCCTTTTGCTGACCTTTCTCAATCCAATTTGGTATTTATCATGGAAAGATTTTTTGAAATGATTGATGTGTTTGGATATTGTTTGTGTAACCAGGCTAGGAGAAGGTGTCACGTTGTTTGCAGGAGAAGGACAGGAGCAAAGGGAGAATCACGGTTTTCCATGGTACAAGTAACTTGCGTTATTTAAACTCATTCAGCCCTGCAAGAGAAATCTGGACATGTTAGAACACTTTTTTTGATGCCAAATTGATCAAGGTCTCTAGGGATGGCTACTGGTAACTGGAAAGAGAATGACCTTCTAACATAATATCAAGGAAGGCAACCGTATACCTGTTGTCAGACTAAGCTAGGATATTGGACTGCCGTGCTACGCTGTACATTTGGTGTCCACCACAAGTTTAAAAAAGCGAAAGGCAGCCATCCCACGCTGCATGATTTTATTACCTGGGAGTGCCACGATGAGCTAGGTGATGAGCTTTCCGTCATGGCAGGTTGTTGGGTGTACCCATACACAGATCCCTCTGGTAATACCAGTTGTGTCCCATGTCACACAGCTCAGCATTGCCTCTGCCAATAAGAGGCACCTTTCAGCTGCCCTCAAAGGTATGTCCCTTTGAGACTGGAGGAGGTAAAAGCCCAAGTCACTACCTCAGCACTGATACAGACTTCTTCAGATTAATTGCTCTATTATTTCAGTGTTTTACTGTGATTCATGACTGTTTGTTTTTGTCCCCAGTTATTCAGTTCAGTGGAGTTTGGCAGAAGATGGCTGCTTCTTCATGAAGGAGTTGCACCAAACAGGTTCTACTGGTAAGAGTGATAACCTCTTCCTCATTTCATAGGCACAGCTTCCCCATATGTACAGAGATGTTGAAATGGGGGCTTGAAGGCGACACGGCTGAATGCAATCTGCACTGCTGATTCGTTGAGATTAATTTAGAACTGGTATGAAAGGAGCATTATTCCTCCTGTTATGTGTTTATACAGCACTTGAAAATGGGGTCTTTGATCTAAGATGATGCACAACTAAAATATACTGAATAATAGTCTGAAGAAAGCGTTGATTTGGAAGGGGAGAGTTCTGTGATTTCCTGTGAATACTTTGAGTTTGAACACAGCTCTGTTCAGCATAAACTTGTTTGCTTTTGCACCAAATACAAAGAAGAGATCAATCTGGTGCTGTTACCTGTGAAGGCCAAAGACTGAAGTCTTGGAGTCTTTGAGGACAGTCTTTTGATTTCTGCTGTGGGTAACATTGGACATCCTCCAGTGATTGGCGTTATGCTTTTAACTGCTGTTAGACCTACTTCAGTCCTTGAAAGTGAGCAAGTTAATGACCATTGAACCAGGCACACACAGTTCTTCATTATGAGCTTAAATCACTTTGCAATTTTGCTTCTAAGCAGCCGTTTAAGATTTCCAGTCAGATTTCAAGCTGTATGAATCAGCCATGCGTAAGTTCCTCTTGCTGAATCTTTGAATGTCAGTCGGTTACAGCAATGGCAAAATTTTTTTAAGTTTGATGCAGAAGTTACCTTAAAGAAGTATCCTGGCTCTTTGTCACTCATGCAAGCTTAACTCTTTGCTGCATTAACTTATGCTATACAATTTGTATCTAAATTCACTTAGGGCCGTAGCCTACGTGGTTATGATAGAATCTGAGCAGCTCACAATTTTTAATATATGGGGTGTCTGTAATGGATGATTTTACTTCAGATCCAAACACTTGTAGTGGCCGCAACCACTGAAGAATAACCCCTGGATGTAGTTCCAAACTTAATTCTGCAGTTCTTCACTACTAGCAAATTTCTTTATATTTTGAGTCTTTCTCCTTCAGTTTTAGTCATCACAGAATTATCCAGTGATCGTGGTGTACTGATTCTCTTCTCATGATTCTGATTGCAGGCAGATCTCTTTGCATTTGCTTTCCATAGCAATGATTTGCATACCCAGTGTAAAGCTCTGTAACCACGCTTGCAGTAGAATGCTTATCTGAAACACCTCCATGCTGTCACGCAATAGCAATTAGCGTAACTTCAACTTTGACTTATGTGGAAAAGAAAGCTGAGGAATGAAGGAGATGCTGAACTGTTTTCCTGCAAATATGGTTGTCATAGTCTGAATCAAAGATAAGTTTAATTTTTTTGTATTTCGGCTTACTCTTTCTGCTTACACTGATATAAATCTGTGAGACTTCTCATCAGCTCTTTATGGAGGCAGTAGTCCACCTATGAGCAGAAGTTGGCTCGTGTCCTGTGAATCTGGTCTTTAAAAATGAAGCTTTTGATAAAATAGTCATCTTGAAATCAGGAGGACCTGAACCAGATGATTAAAATGAGACCCCCGTGGTAGCTTCTAAACTGTAAGTTTGTGCCAAAACCATAGGTTTTGAACATATCAAGATTCAGGAGTGGTTCAGTCAAATATTTTCTTTTAATTTATGAAAGAAATAAGAGCTCTAGGTCAAATTTACTTCAAAAGTTAAATTTATATTTGGTTTGCAAAGGATATACCAAAGATTTTGTTTGCTGCTCCAGCTTTTTAAACCTTCTCAGAACCTGTGTTAGCTGAAGCTTTTGCAAACTAAATTCCATTTTTAACTTATTTTTATGTGAGTGTTGTCTGTGTAGACAGGCACATATATATTTATATCACTCCTATTTCTTTCCTAGAGGACTCAGCATGTCAGATGTAAATACACAGCCCCACACATATCTCATTTTTTCTGGGCTAATAAAAGCAGAAAGTCCTAGAAATCTGGGGACCCAGTCTTTGAGACATCCAACAAAACTGTACTCACTGAAGAGGGTCAGACAGCTGGAAAGAATGTTCCTGGATCCCTGTGTCCTGTACTGCACTCCAAACCTTTTGAAGTTTCCCATCATTACTTACAGTAGTGGTTTTTATGGTGAATTGAGCTGATGGATACCTGCAATAAGAATAATGATGAAAATGGTAATTTTCCCTTTCCATGGAGCTCAAACTTTGAAGGCCTCTTAAAACCTTACGAATAAGAGAACTCAGGCTTGGAGCTTCAAAGACAAAGAGTAAGTTGAAAAGATTAAAAGATGTTCCAACCAGCCATCTAATTCCCTACAGCCATAAACAAAACATGAAACTGCAAGCCCGTATTTTCACCTTGAACAAAATGTCCCTTGCGTAACACACTTTGGTGTAAGCCAGACTGTACTTCTGCTATCAAAAGTAAAAATAATACAACTTGTGGAGGCAGTGTTGCATCTCATTCTGACTTATTTATTATGATCATCATCATCTTGGGGGAAAAAAAAATACTGTTAGCTGCAGTTATATGGATGTTATCTGTCCTCAGAACCATCCACAGTAGAAAACAGAGCCGTGCATGTTTAATTGAGAACATGAGCACCAGAGAGAGCAACACGGGGCTTTTCTATGTGTTTCCATTTCTGTGCAGCCAAGTACCTGAGGACAAAATAGGCACTGAAGTGCTGAATCAGAAGGGCAGCCCTTTGCACTCAGAGCATGGCCACCACTGACTCCCCATGCAAGAAAAGCAAAAGGGAATTGGGATGTAAGAGGGTACAGAGATGAACAGTGAAGGAAAATGTCCTCAGGTCACAACATTTCAAGGAAAGCGTGCTGTGGTCATGCTCTCTCCTGTTCCTGGTGCTTTCTCTAAATCAAATGGTTTTGAAGGGATCAACTGGGACACAGCTGTGTTGTGCAGAGAATTAGGGCTAGATCTGTGGAGAATGAGGGCTATATTCTGATACCTAAGGAAGGCTGAGGAGTTGCTTTAATACAGACTGCTTCCAGACTATCTAAGCTGGGACTTTTCTAAGATCAGGAAGACACAAAGCAAAGCCTTTGGCATCAGGCCTTTGTGAGGCTGCATTTACTTAACGCTCCTTCTTTTGACAGGGAAGGAACATCTGAAAGACTTCAAAGACTTTTAAATGGATTGGAACGGTTGATGAAAGCAAAGATGCATTTTCCTGATTGCCCACTGATATTTTAATGGCCATGTTACTTTGTCATGTGGTCATGTAAATATTTTGTGGGTCACTCTGAGTCCTGTGAATAAACACCACTGAGCTCGCTCGTTTTAGTCTTAGGCTCTGTCTGCAAATACTGTCAGAGAAACCGTAATGTCTTTTACAGCTGCATTTCTTGTATTTGCTTCCAAGAGAATTTGTTTTTTATTCGCTTATTTTTGGCTGCTCTGTGAAACACCCCCTCCTACTACCACCCCAGAGAAATTTAAACCCCTGAAGAACAACATTAAAGCGATCTGGTGATGCCTACTGCATAACTCTGAGAAAACACTCTGTGTAGAGACAACTCATCTCCTTGTAGCTCATATGTATTTTGTATTCTTGTATCCTCTGTTTCATTAAGAGGAGTCATTAACATGAAAATAGAATCTTTGTTTATTCAGAGCTCCTCTGTTGCCCCTTTTCATTCTTCCACCTGCAGCTCTAAGTGATGCCCTGACATCCCCACTTGCTATGAAAGAGACTGTAATGTCACACTGTGGAGGAAGTTATCAGATGGGGGATGAGCAGATAAACTCAAACCTTTAAAATGAGAGGTGACTGGAGTGATCTTAAAAAAAAACCACACCACAAAACAACAACCAACTAAACCCCAAACAAAACAAAAGAAGGAAAAGGAGATATATAATTCTCTACCTCATTAAAAGGTTTTAAGGACACTTTTGTGCTGAGCAGGCTTTAGTGATGGGCTACTGTAAAACTGACACCTCTAATAATTGCTATAATGGGGGGGTATCTTACCGCGTATCTGTTTGCGTAATCTAGGTCTATGAAAGTGGTATACTGAGGAAAGCATAATTGACTCGGATAGTCAACCGTGTGTTATGTGTCTGATGGCAACATAAAAGATTCCACAATGCATACAACCCCACGGCATTGCAGTTCTGCATTGTATCAACAATTTTCATGTTTTTTTATTATTCCTCTGGCAGGTTCTTGAGATTTGCTGTTAAATGGACTGTGACAGAAAAATGCATGAAAATTATCAAGGTGCTTAGTAATTCTGGAACTGTGTGCTATGAAAATACCCTAATTACTAGGA